CCCTGCTTAGCTTCCAAGATCAGATGAGATCAGGCGCGTTCAGGGTGGCATGGCCGTAGACAGATTTTGCATCTCTTAGACACGTCTGTCCCCAGTGTTGGCACTGCCCTGGCCCAGGCCCTGGGGGGAAGCCTGTGGACTGGCACAGGGCCTGCTGTCCTTAAGCTCCACTTCCCTCCCAAGCAGGCACCCTGTCCTGGACGCCGTGGGGGACACCAGGAAGGGTGTGGCGTGTTCCCTGCCCGCCAGGAGCAGCCACCAGAACTGCAAAGCAGCCTTCAAGCCGCCTGGCTCAAAGTATTCCCGCCAGAAGCAGGAAGGCACCCCCTAGACCCTACTGTGGTCACCTCACCTCCCCGCATTTTAAGTGGGTTGTGACAGGATGGAATTTGTCTAGAAGGAAGCCAGGATGGAGGTGAGGGATGCAAAATTTGTCTTAGAGAATATTTGAAAGAAAGATGAGAAGGCCAGGAAGGGCAAGCTGCAGCCTCCAGAGACTGGGAAGCTGTCACCGGGAAGAGGAGGCACACTGTTTGGGGTGACCTCAGACGTTAGAGTTTTAGCAACGGCTGGAACCTCAATAGCAAATTGCAGCTGAGAGTAAGGAAGCCTTTACTAGCTGTTAGGTCTGTCCAAAGGAGAGCCTGGCTCAGAAAAGCAGTGGTGAGTTCCCCGTCCCTGGAGGTATGTGAGTCAAGGTTGGATGAGGAGTTGATGGGAGATATCCGGTGAGATGAGATGGCCCTCTAAGTAACCTCTATAGAGACCTCATACGGGCAGGTGAAGGCAAATTAAAAGTGAGACCTTGAATGGTGCTCAGCAGGAGGTCCCACCCAGCGGCGCTGGTGGTCATTTTGGTCTGAGGCCTGGGATGGGTGGACTGGAGCACCTCCTCCTTCCCTGAGCTCCACCCATGCTCTGCCCTAGGACTACTGTATGGGGGGCAGAGCTGGAGGGGTTTGAGACAAAATCTTACTCTGTCACCCTGGCTAGAGTGCAGTGGCGTCACCATAGCTCACAGCAACCTCAAACTCCTAGGCTCAAGTGATCCTCCTGCTTCAGCCTCCCAAGTAGCTGGGACTACAGGCGTGCACCACCATGCCTGGCTAATTTTTCTATTTTTAGTAGAGACGGGGTCTCATTCTTGCTCAAGCTGGTCTTGAACTCCTGAGCTCAAGCGATCCTCCCGCCTCGGTCTCCCAGAGTGCTAGGATTACAGGTGTGAGCCACCGCGCCCGGCCTGTGATGAGTATTTGAGCCAGGAATAGCAATGGCGAGAAAGGTAACCCTACCATAAGCAAATTTGCTTTCTGGAGAAAAACTTGACTCAGAAGGACACTTTCACACGTGATCAGCTTCTTCATAAGGGATCTTAAAATCGCAAAGTGTGAGAACCAGAGGAGGGCCCGCGTGACTGACTTGGTGCCAACCCCCTCATTTTACAGTGGGAACGCCAAGGCCTGAGGGAGAAAGGCCACACAGCTATGTCAGCCCCCAGCTGGGGTGCAAACCCCACGACAAACAGTAAGGGTGACGGTGTCCACTCTGATTGCAAAGTTTGAGAAGTTGTACAGTGCCCAGCGGGTACACACACCCCCATTAGTAAGTCATGGAAGCTATTTAGGAATGGAATACAGATATTCTTTTTTCTTTCCATGTATCCTGAGATTTTAGGATTTATTATAAAGACTTAGGAAGCTGTTTGGATCTAATTAATATATTCCTATTAGGAATTTCTTTTTGGCCTTGGGATACCATGAAAAAATTACTGAGACACTAAAGAACAGTTTGGGCATCTCTGTCTGGGGTTACCGTGGGGCTCAGCGAGTTAATACGAAACACCCTCGGAGCAGTGCCTGGCAGAGGACGGATCCAGGAGCCCCGAGAGCCTGGTACTCTCCCTCCGAGCTGGCACCCACGGGGCCCGGATTAGGGCGCCCTCACCTGGCCCACCTGTCGAGCCTCCCTCAGCCACCGGCCCCCAGCCAGGGCCGAGGAGGACTGAGGGCAGGGTCCGGCTCAGGGTCGCACAGGCCCTGGCACCCACACACGGCCCCTCATTTAATTTGCATTCCCTGTGCCCCTGCTGCATGCGGCCAGCACACAGTCCACCGTGGCCCCTCTAGGCGGGAATCTCGGGTCAGCCTGATTCTTCGTCCTTGTCTCCTGGCAGCGTCTGCCTCCAGGACGCCTGGGTGTGGGGACAGGGCAAGGGGCCAAGAGCTCCGTCGAGAGGCCCTGAGGGGATGCTCGGCCCATGTCCCTGCCCAGGCCGGAGACGGATCTTTGTGCCAGCGCTGAGAGGAGCGGCGGGGCAGGGAGGGCGGGGCGGTGGGGCTGCGGACACAGCCCCGCTGCACTAATGGATGTCTAATGTTTGCTTTCCTCGGTCACGTCTGCGCTCGCTTTATAAATGAGCTGCATTAGGGTTATAAAACAAGTCATAAATGCAGCCCGCAGTGCCTCGGAGCACCGGGGCAGCCGTCACCTGGGGACTGGGGGTGGCGTGGTTAGAAGTAGGGGCGGGCACGCTATGTGCACCCACGGGCTCCCACGCCCCTTCTCTGGTGGCCATTGCCCACCCCCAAGGGAGGCCTGTTGCCCCCACTTCATAGATGAGCTGCCTGAGGCCCCAGCGGGGCTGCTTCAACCCAGGGTGTCTGAGTCCGAAGCCCGAGTCCGCTTCGCCGCCCTCAGGGCTGAGACAGGCAAGAGGCTGGTGGGGGAGGTAGGCCTGGGCCTGGCAGGTTCTCTACTGCCCAGATGCCCTCCCACCTCCATCCTGCTCTCCCAGAGCTCCCGGCCTGGCAGGGAGGCCACAGTGCCTGTCTCAGGGTGGGACAGGGACCAGCTCTCAGGCCACTAGAAACCAGTGTCCAGCTCCCTTGACTGTGATCATGTCACTGTATCATTGTCCCATCAACTCCCCCAGCTCCCAAACCCCAGGGCACTGTCAATTTGCCTACAGAGAGCGCGTCTCCATACTGGCAGAGGGAAGTGGGTGTGAGGCGAGCCCCGGCCTGGCCTCAGACACCCTCTTGCTGTGCCCAGGTTAGCTGCCCACTAACGGGTGGCCTCGGGCAAGTCACTGACCCCATTTGGATGGTCTTCAGGTTCGTCACTTTGAAATGAGAAGGACAGTCCCAGCCCTGCCAGCCCTGCCATGAGAGAGCCCCGTAGACTGTAGGGTCCTGGCCAGTGTCCAGGGGCTATTAGGATCCTCAGGTGCGGAGACACCCACAATGTTGGAGCTACATCATGAGAGCAGTGTGGCATCTGGGGCAACATCCCAAAAGCTGAAGCCCGTTTCTCGGGTTTAAACCTTGGCTCTTCCTCTTACTAGCTGTGTGACCTTGGGTTAGTTGCTTAACCTCTCTGAGCCTCCATTTACGCATATATAAAATGGGGACTAATAGAACATGCCTTACAGGGTTGTTGCAAGAATTAGATAAGTTAGCTACTGAAAGCACTGAAAACACAGCACCTGATGCTGGGTAAGCAGTAATTATTTCAGTGCGGCAACATCTACCTACTGTGTACCAGGGCCCTCCCAAGCATTCACACTTTTATCCCACGGGATCCTCAAAGCAGCCCAGAGAGAGGGGAAGGGTGCTCACTTCCCTTAACAAGGTGGGAGTTAGGTCCTCTCCCTGGGCACACAGAACATGCTGGAGGGAGCTGGAGCCACGCCCTGTCTTGCTGGCTTCCCCTGTCTCCCCCAGGTCCCTCTGTCTGTCTTGCTCTCTCACACACTGCCCAGGCCTGGAGCCCGGAGCCAGGGACAATTAATGCATTTTCTCCCTAAGTTGCCCCAGTCTTAGCAGGGTCTCCTGGTCCACAGAGATCAAACATGGTCAGGCATGTTGTGTTCATTCTGCTCTTGGGAGACAGGATGTCCCTTGGCCCCCCTGCCTGCAGGGGGACTCTCTAGGACCAAGCGTGGCCTCCTGGACTGGAGAACAAGTGCATGATCCCAGAGACCACTTGGGCCTCCCGGAACACCCCCCGCCCCCCGCAACCCTCCACTCCAGGCAGGCACTCCGGCTCGAAGGGCTGGGCAGACAATCACCCCACAGCTAAATTCGCCGTTTCCTCTGGAGCAGTGAGCAGAGGAGGACAAGCCCCCACAGCTGTCCTCAGCCACCTGATCGCTTGGCATTTGGCGTCGGAAAATCAGTTTTCCTAAGTGGACTGTAAACCGATGGCCTGGCCTGGCCTGGTTTCCCTCCCTCCCAGCGCTGGTGGTGGCCAGCCCCTCCCTTCCTGTTTGTCTCCCCTCCTGAGGCGCTGTTCTTTCCAGGGACGCAGGCGGGCCAGGGTTTCCATTCGGCCCCTTCGGGGAGGAGACTGTCGTGGCCACAGCCTCACTGTGGTCTCTGAAGTGTCCTCACCCGTGGTGCTGAGGGCATGGGTTCGGCCAAGGTGGAGGAGGCTAAGGGACGGGTCAGAGCCCCAGACCAGAGGAGGCTCTGGCTGGGAGCTGCAGGGAAGGAGGCCTGCAGGGGCCCGTGCACCAGGGAGCCCAGGCCCTGGCTCCTCTTCCGGCCTCCGTCAGCCTGGCCGGCCGGGGCTGCAGAGGGCAGCCGTGGCTCCGGGGCAGAGCCAGCCTGGTTGGAGCTCCAGCCTCAGCCCCGCTTCCAGCGCAGACGTGCTGTGGCATCACCACGGGAAACTGGAGCAGGGCTGCGCAGGGCCAGTGCAGGGGACACCGGGGGCTCGAGGGGTGTCCTCACGCTGACAGATCACCTCACCTCTCTGGGCCTCCCTGACGTCTCCATCTGAAAAGTGGAATCACACAGCGTCACAGAGCTAGGACTGGCCCTAAAGCCCAGCCTCTTACATGCAGGGCCGGATGGGAAACTGAGGCCTCAGGAGTGCCAGACCCTGCCCAGGTCGCAGAGCGCCTCCTAGCAGGTCTTCCTTTGCGGTGGGCCCCCGGGGTGGGCGAGGGGCCGTGAGGGCTCCCCGCCCGCAGCCTCAGCTGTCTCCTTCCCCCGCAGGCGCTGATTCCGAGGTGCTCCCCGACTCCTACCCGTCGGCGCCGGCGGAGCCCCTGCCGCACTTCCTACAGGAGCCGCAGGACGCCTACATCGTGAAGAACAAGCCGGTGGAGCTGCGCTGCCGCGCCTTCCCCGCCACGCAGATCTACTTCAAGTGCAACGGCGAGTGGGTCAGCCAGAACGACCACGTCACCCAGGAGGGCCTGGACGAGGCCACCGGTGAGCCCACCACGTGCCCGGGGCACCCAGGACACCAGGGCCCAGAGGTGCAAGGGAACGTGGGTCCTGGGACTGGGCTCTACGTGAGATTTCACAGAGCCGTGGTTCCCCCTGGGCCTCAGTTTCCCCTCTAGGCTTCACCTCGGATCGGTATTTCCCCGAGCATTGGCCACCTGTCCCAGCCTGGCCTTGGGTGACCACTCGCCATGCACTAAACAGCACCAGATCCCCTGCCCAGCGAGCCCCCTTCCCCCTTGGCCCTCGGGGAGCCAGTCCCAGTGGGGACCTGGGATTCTCCAACCCTCCCAGACACCTGCTGGTCTCCCCGCGTGACAAAGAGGGCCAGGCCACTGTCCCACAGCCCTGGCGCCCCATGGCACCGCCCCAGAATTCAGTGCCGTCGTTATTTTGACAGGTCCTTTCTGTCTGCGGAACGCGAGGCTGTTTTCCATTCACAGTAATGATACGGCATTTCCTGTATAGAGATCCATTGTTTTAGGTTAAAAAACCCAAGGTTAATAATGTTAAGTAAATAATCATTCAAGTGGTGCTGAGCCGTCGCCCAAATCCAGAGGGAGAGAGGAGAGCGGCTGAAGGCCGAGAAAGGGGAGAAAGAAGGACCATTCCGCCTGTGGTGGGAGGGGGGCTCTGGGTGCCCCAGGGAGGAGGCAGAGCCTGGGGCTCCTCGCGTCTCCCAGAGGCGGGGCCTGCCCCAGTGGTGCCCCCGCGTCTAAGTGGGGTCTCGCTTGTCACCAGGGCCTGTTTACAATGCAGGAACCGTCGGGGTCCCCGGCTCAGGGCAGAGGGACGGGCCCCTCCACTGCTGGTCACCTGGCAGACGGCTGGCTGGGGGGGCTGCAGCCTGCCTGGGCTTTTGTTTTGTTTTTGCCCTCTCTTTCTTGATCTTTTTCTTTTTTCTTCTTTTTCAGCCCTGTCTTCTTTTCTTCTTTCCCTATCTCTCCCTTCTCACGCCTCCCTCTCTCTCTCTCTCTCTCTGTCCCTTTTCCTGACGTGTCTCTTCCTCTCCCCCTTGCCTTGTTTTTCTCTCTCCATCACCCTCTCTCTGTCTCGCGCTCTCTCTCCCCTGCTCCTTCTTTCTTCCCCCTTCAATCTCTGCTCTGCCGTGAAAAGCTCACGGGTTTCAGAACCACTCAGACTTAAAACCGCACCCCAGAACGGACGCAAGGCCACTGACTATATGCTTAAAAATGGCTAACGTGGCAAGTGTTACGTTATGTGTATTTTACCACCATTTTAAAATAACTTTTTAAAAATAGATTCGGAATCCTATTCTCACCTGAAATATAAACATGAGAAAAGGAATTTTTTAAAGGCAGAAAGAAAAAAACCCAAAACACTGTATTTGTCAGCTGCCCCCACTCTCTGGCTGTGTGACCCTGAGGAAGTCTCTTAACCTCTCTGAGCTCCAGTCCCGCTGTTTGTAAACTTGGATGTTAACGGAACATCCTGGTGAGGGTGCAGCACGGTGGCTCCACTCAGCGCTGAGCAATGTGCCAGGACCCGGCAGGCGCTCGGTGAATGCCGTTTCCTCTGTCCTCTTTCTGAGTTTTCTTGGCTTCTTTCTGTCTGTCTCTCACAACAATCCTTAACCTCTCTGTCCCCTGAGCCCCACTGGCCTGCGCCAGAAGTCAGCCGTGGGGGTCCGGGCAAAGCAAGGAAGCTGTGTGCCTGCTGGGCCCTCACAGGTGATTAGAAATAGTAATAATAACCCTGTGATTATTAGTAATAGCGTGGCTCTTACTCCCCGCTCCCAGGCACCCAGGCCCTGCCAGCCCTAGAAATTGGGGCACTGTTGTCCCCATTAGCTGGAAATAATGGACAGGGCTCCCCTGGCAGCCATGGGGCCTGGTTCCACTTCAGCCTCCTGCTTCCCAGCCCCAGCAGACCCTGGCACCCCCGGAGGCCCTGGAAACACAGGAGCACAGCCGGGGGCCGGGAGAGGTGGGACAGGCCCACGCACCAGCTTGCGCCAGCACTGCCATGCTTGGGAGGGCAAGCTGGTGCTGGGTCCCACGTCTGGGAGACCAGAGACCTCATCCTTGTCCTCTCTGCATCCCTGCTTGCTGGTACCCGTGGACAAGGTGTCAAGCCTCCCTGGGCGATGGTTTCCCTCTGGCCAACTGTTGGGTACTGCTGAAACCTTCTTGGATAGGTGACCCCCTTGAAAGGGACCGCTCTTCCAGATTCGCAACCCAGTACATAAGGGGCAGGGCCCGTGCAGCCTCCATGGTGGAGCTGACCCTCCAGGCAGCCACAGCCACCCACCCCTGAAACAGCCTCAGCCGCCTCCATTTAGTGCCTTGGCCATCAGGATGGGGCTGTCCTCACTGTCTGGACCCCCGGTGCGAGGCCCCCACCCTCCCTCATGATGCAGCGATGACACCAGGAGAGGTCCAGAGGCATCTTGGTGAGGGGACAGAGCTCTAAGCGGGGCAAGACACCAAACAGCCGACCTCTACTATGTGGCCACTTACTGGGGCCTTTGGGCCTGCGACCTACCCTCTCTGGGCCTTAGTTTCTCCGAATATAAAAGGAAGAAGCTGGATGAGCTCCAGTGACTTGCTGGAGTAAATGTGTGCCCAGCCCGGGCTGGGCAATGTGGCAGAGCAATGGCCATGACTCACTTAGAGGTGCCCTGAACGTTTACTATGGTGAGGGAACTGAGGCCCAGAGAGGCTAAGAAACTTAGCAAAGGCCACACGGCTGGGGAGTGAGCCAGGATTCAAACCTGTCTGGCCACCCAACCCTGCCCTTAGCCACCAGTCCACGGGACCACACTGTGCTCAGCCCTGCCGTCAAGGGGCTTAACAACTCATGTGCCACGAGAGGATGAAATAGAACACGTCATGGCCAGGAGGAAGCTTTGGAAACTCTAAGACAGGAAGTAATCAGGGAGGCTTCCTAGAAGAAGAGGCCTCACAGTCTCCCCTAAACTGTGGGGAGGAGCCTTGGGTGGGCTCCCTAATCCAGGCAGGTTCGCCCCTTCCTGAGCATAGAGGGCTCTGTTGAGGGAGAGTAGCAGAGGACTCCCGCACCCCCGTGGGCTGGGAGGTCAGGGGCTCCTGAGAAGGGGGCCACCCCCAGCTCCAGTCCCCCAGGCTCCTGAGCGGGGACCGGGGAGCGGCTGGCATCACACCTCCACCACAGGCCGAGCCCCTTCTCCGTGCTGGGTCCTGGGCCACAGTGGCGAGCGGGACAAAGCCCGGTCTCGTTCCCCTGCAGGAGGCAGACAGTTAACACGTGAACACGTCAGTAAACAATCTGGGTGCGGACAGTGGTGGGTGCTGGGCGGAAACGAGGCTGCATAGGGGCACGACAACTGAGCAGACAGACAGACGTCCAGTGCAGCGGCGGGAGTGCCGAGGGGCACCGTGAGAGTGCACCGGGGTTGGCGCAGGATGGAGGGGCGCTTCCCTTAGGAAGTGAGGCCGAGCCAAAAGCTGACAGTTGCTGGGAGTCCACGGGGCACAGAGGGGACAGAAGAGAGTTCCGAGCAGGGGGCCAGCGTGCAGCGGCCCTGTGGCTGCAGAGCCGGGGAAGGCGAGGGACTGGAAGGTGCCCAGGGAGGCTGGGCGGGGTGGGGAAGGTGGCTGCACGGCGCGAGGCAGAGTCCTGGGGTGGGGGTCCTGCAGGGCCTGGGGGCCACACAGAGGCTCTGGGTCATGCCAGGACCCAGCATAAAGGGTCTCGTGCCAGGGAGGAATGACATATCGTTTGTGCATTTGGAAGAGGACACTCTAGCTGCCAGGTGGAAGGTGGATTGAGGGGACAGAGGGCTTGATGTTAGCCATTACGGTGTCCGAGTGAGTGGCCCCGGCAGGGTGGAGGCAGAGGACTAGCGACAAGAGGAATAGATGAAACGAGGGGCGTTGGCAGAACAGCCAGCAGGCCTTGGGTGGAAGGGAGAGAGCCCGGCACCCCCGCCCGCCCCCTGACGGCTCCCTCTCCTCCCAGGCCTGCGGGTGCGCGAGGTGCAGATCGAGGTGTCGCGGCAGCAGGTGGAGGAGCTCTTCGGGCTGGAGGATTACTGGTGCCAGTGTGTGGCCTGGAGCTCCGCCGGCACCACCAAGAGTCGCCGGGCCTACGTCCGCATCGCCTGTACGCCCCCCGACACCCCACCCCCTCCCCGCAGGGCCCTTCCCTTCCCCGTGGATGCTGGAGAGGGAATTCCACGTCTGTGGCACCTCCTCCAGCTTCCCTGGCTGAGGACGCCCACCACAGAGACACCCAGGCACACGGATGCCCGCTCAGAAGGGGACTGCTGGACCCAGAGCCTGGGCCGCCTCTGGCCCCAGGAGTCCTCATGGCCCCTTTTCACTTATTTCTATATAAAGGAAGCAGGCGGCTTCCTCATCACATCCACTATATGTTAAGATCCCAGAGTCAGGGAGGGAACTCTGCTCCCCAAAGTCGCCCTAGGGAGGCCCCTCCTTTGGAGGAGAAGAAGGTCTCCAGGTAGAGGCCAGGTGTCCCCCATCAACAGCTCCCTTGTTGTGCACCGCCACCTAGTGGCAGCAGTGGGGAACTGCAGGTCCCAATCCCCCTCGCGCCCCCTTGACTATGTCTTGGGACCCTCTCCCTTCTCCCAGACCTGCGCAAGAACTTCGATCAGGAGCCTCTGGGCAAGGAGGTGCCCCTGGACCATGAGGTTCTCCTGCAGTGCCGCCCGCCGGAGGGGGTGCCTGTGGCAGAGGTGAGCGGGGATGTAGGCCGCACTAGGCACGGTGGAGGCAGGGCAGGCGCGGTATTTACTGCTAGTTTCCCAGAGCCCTCCCTATTTCACAGACGGGGAGCTCGAGGCTTGGCACAGAGAAGGGAGCTGCCACCTCTGCAGAACTCGGCACATGCCACCTCCCAGCTGGGCCCTCCCCAGGCATAGCCCCCGGGATGGGGTGGAGCTAAGACAGGAAACTCCAGGCTCAGCCTGTCTCCCCCCTGCCCTGCCCAGAACCCAGGGTCCCCGCTTTATGGACGCCAAAGGGTCTCATAACGCACACGTCCTAGTGTGTTCTCACCCCACAAGCTGACGACCCCTTCCCCCCACCACACGGCCTCTGCCTTGTCCCACCCCCTCTCACCACCCTTCCAGACATGCTCCCTGCACCGGTGGGCCAGGAGTTAGAGCCGGGCACAGGGGACATCTCAGCTTTGCCCTGGGGGCCCCCGTGGAACAGAGGCTGGGGGAAGACAGGACCCTGGACTTCCAGCTTGGGATCAGCCCTGCCTGACCCCAAAACCTTGCGCCCTTGCACTCATCCCTTAGCGGCCCCCAGCCCACCCCCTCCTCTGTGCAAGGAGCTCAGACAACACCCCGTGTGACAGCTGCCGCTCATGGGCTCCCACGTGCGCTGGGCACCGAGTGCCCCAGTCTCCACAGCAGCCCTGCGGGGTGGGTGTTGTAACCCGTGCCACAGCTGGGCAGCAGCCGGGGAGGGGGAGCGGCCACCAGGGTGAGGAAGCCACGCGGCAGAGCTGGGATTTGAACCCAGGTCTGCCCCACCCAGCACCGTGCTCCCAATCACCCGCCAGGCCGCTCGCCCTGGCTAGCGGGGCTGGTGGGGGGAGTTAGTGAAGCAGACAGGGACTACTAGCGGACGCTTGCTTGGTTAGCCGGACTCAACGCACCCTGAGCCAGGCGCTGTCTTGGCACTTCACGTGCACTCACGACAGCCCCGTGAGGCAGATGCCATTCAACTCCCACGTCCGTTGATGAGGTTAAGGCCCCGAATGGGGAGTCCCCTCCCAAGACAGTTGGCAAATGTTGCTCTTAACCATGGTGCTACGTAGCATCTGGCACAGTGGCCCGTCCCGTGGGGTCCTGCCTCAGTGTCCCCACCGGTTAGAACTGCCGGCCTTCTGTTTATGTGCCCCCTTCCCCTCCACAGCGGGCCCCCTCCCCGGGATGCAGGCGAGCAGGCCCCGGGCCCTCACTGTCCCCCAACCCCCTCCTGCAGGTGGAATGGCTCAAGAACGAGGACATCATCGACCCCACCCAGGACACCAACTTCCTGATCACCATCGACCACAACCTCATCATCCGCCAAGCCCGCCTGTCGGACACGGCCAACTATACCTGCGTGGCCAAGAACATCGTGGCCAAGCGCCGGAGCACCACCGCCACGGTCACTGTCTACGGTGCGGGCCTCTCGCAGTGGGGGCAGGCACGGCTGAGGGAGGGGGGAGCAGGGTCTGTACGCCCCCCGACACCGCCTACCAGGAGGCCAGCAGGGCCCCTGGACAGGTGGGAAGATGAGCCGGGGAGGAGGGGAGTTGACCGAGGTCACAGCACAGCCAGCCAGGCATTCCTGGGTCCCCAGCCAGGAGCACGTCCCGCTTCCTGAGACCTGTCTGTCTCTGGAGAAGACCCAATTCTCTCCAAGTCAGGGGGCTGAGGCAGGGCCTGGTCAGCACCCCATACCCAAGCCCATTGTCCCCGCAGAGGTAGGGACGGGTGCCCAGGCCTGTAAGCTGCTCTCTGCTGCCCCCTGGGCCCGTGGTAGGAGGGGCAAAGCCACAGCTGGGGTACTTGACAGAGTGACAGAAGGGTCCCTGTGCTAGGTTCTAGCTCCAGGCCCAGTCCCAGGCCCCATCACTGACGGGGTGACTCTGGGCAAGTCAGGCCTTGCTGGACCTCCGTTGGCCATCGGACAATGGGCTGGGAAATAGACAGTGACCCACAGGTCCTCTCTGGTGCTAGCGGTTGCAGCCCAGGTCTGCCTGCTGGTGTCGGAGTCTTGAGCCCTGTGGCAAGAAGGGTCCAGCCAGGGAGGGCCAGGCTTTAGCAGAGAGCCCTCGCCAGGGGTTGGGGGACCAGAGGGTCCCAGAGCCAGGCCAACCAGGTGACAGCAGCCCCCCTGCAGTGAATGGCGGCTGGTCCAGCTGGGCAGAGTGGTCACCCTGCTCCAACCGTTGTGGCCGAGGCTGGCAGAAGCGCACCCGGACCTGCACCAACCCCGCCCCGCTCAACGGAGGTGCCTTCTGTGAGGGCCAGGCCTTCCAGAAGACTGCCTGCACCACCGTGTGCCCAGGTAAGGGCCACTGGCCAGGTGGCACACCACCCACGCCCAGCCCCACCCCAAGCCCATCCTCACCTCCTGTGGTGTGCGCCAGAGCCAGGACAGCCACTCTATCCCCAGCATGCTTGTCCCAGGCCCACAGCTGGCCTCTCGGTCTGGGTTAGATGCTCTCACCTCTGACCTCTGACCTCTCACTCTGCCCCGCTCTGCTGGTGAGATGCAGGCAGAGGCTTTGAGCTACGGTCTGAGGGGTGGCCTCTTCTCCCCGACCTCTAGCCAAGGGTTCTCAGCGTCAGCCCCAGGCCAGGGTCCCAGAGCTGCCCAGGGTTGGGGGGGGAGCCTCCCGCACCTGTTAAGACACACCCTGGCCATCCATGGCCCTGGTCCCCTAACCGTTCTCTCCCCGCTCTGTCTTCCTCCTGGTCTCCGTGTGCCCCTGTGTTCGTCGGCCCTCGCACATCTCTGCGTTCCCTCCCTTTGGTCATGTGTTTGTGTGAACGCCGTGGTGCTGTTTACCCTGGGTTTGTGCCGTGTGTACCATTGTGCATGGGCTGTATCTGCGTCCACGACCACATGCATCTGTCTGTGCTCTCTCTGTCCCCTGGGGCATCTGGCTGTTCATTGGCATGGGGCCGGGTGGGTACGGCGGGATTTCTCTGTATGGCACACATGTGTCCTGGGTTCCTCTTTCCTTGCCATGGGGTACATGCATGTATGTACATGTGCGTGTTGGTGTATTGCTGTGTTCTATGTTCTGCATATGTAACTGTGTGCACACGTCTGTGTGCATGCACATGTTCTGTGTGCCGTGCTCCTACAGTTGACGGAGCGTGGACGGAGTGGAGCAAGTGGTCAGCCTGTAGCACCGAGTGTGCCCACTGGCGCAGCCGTGAGTGCATGGCACCCCCGCCCCAGAACGGAGGCCGTGACTGCAGCGGGACACTGCTCGACTCCAAGAACTGCACCGATGGGCTGTGCATGCAGAGTGAGTCCTCGGGAAGGCGGGGCCCTGGGGGGGGACTCTGAGCCAGGTAAGGGCCCCCACCGCCACCCAGCCCAGGCCCCAGCGCGGGGCCCACCATGCAGCAGCCCTCGGGGCCCTGCCCACCCCCACATCATCTCATCACATCATTTCCCCACCACTATGTCTGTCACCCTGTCCCTGTCACCTGTGTCATTGTCTTTCCCTTTATTTCCCTTGACAGATAAGAAAACTCTAAGTGACCCCAAAAGCCACCGTAAGTCCCATTTCATGGCTGTCCTTTTTCCTCCGGGGGATCCCTGGTTCTCCTTGGCTGGCTCTCCTGGGTATGGGGGACACGGCAGGGACAGTCGAAGGTGGCCCCCATACCAGTGCCCCACGGATGCCCTGCACCCGATGCTGCATGTGTCTGTGTCCCCATCACAGACAGACCACAGAGCCCTGGCTGACAGAAAGGCCCCAGGACCCTGCTGACCCTCCTGCCACAGGAAAGGAGACTGAGTCTCAGAAGAAGGGACATGCCAAAGACTCAGCCAGGAAGTAACAGAGCCAGGATTCGAACCCAGTATTTTTGAGGCCTAAGCTAATGCACTTAACCCCATGCCCTCAGCCTCCCTCTCTGGGACAGGGCCGGGGGCAGCACCACACGAGTCCACCTAGGGCCCCTCACCTGTACCCCCAGCAGCTGGGCCCGGGCTCCCAAGTTGCCTGTGACGCCCACGGCCCTGTGTCAGCTCCCGAGGCGCTGCGCTGCCGCTGCAGTAACAGCGGAGCAATGAGGCTGCTTCGGCAGACTGTCTTGTGGTCATTAAACCACAGTTTCCAAATAATCGTGGAGACATAAGATCAGCAGAGAGGCCCTCGGCCCAGCACACTGGGGGCCAGGCTGGTGACTGATTAGAGAGTGTAAGTCACCAGGCAAGTGGCCTGGGGTCTGCGAGGACGTTAGGAGGCAGAGCTCAGCCCAAGGTCCTCTGGGGAGCTGGGCACAGGGAGAGGGCAGAGCGGGAGGTCATCCGGGCTGGGAGCCACACTGTGCCTTGCCGAAGGCTTAGGCTGACCCGAGCGCAAGGACTTGGAGGGCGCCAGGCAGGGAAAGCAGGCCTGCCTCTCCAAGGGCCCCAGGGAGGGACAGTGGGGAAGTGCTTTCTGGAGCCCCCAAAGGAAGCTGAGGGAAGAGCAGCTCTGCCTGGGCTGTCCAGTGTGGCAGCCACCAGCCACGTTGGCTATTGAAACTTACATTTAACTTAATTGAAATTAAGCTCTAAAAATTCATCAGTCTGGGCAACATAGTAAGACCCCATCTCTACAAAAAATTAAAAAATTAGCTGGGTGAGTTGGCATATACCTGTCGTCCCAGCTACTCGGGAGGCTGAGGCAGGAGGATCGCTTGAGCCCAGGAGTTGGAGGTTGCAGTGAGCTGTGATGACACCACTGCGCTCCAGCCTGGGAGACAGAGCAAAGCTGTGTCTCTAAAAAATAATTAAAAAAAAATTCGGTTCCTCAGTTGTACCAGCCACATTTCAGTTGTTCCATAGTCACATGTGGCTAGTGGCTGCATAAAGGACAGTGCAGATGTAGAATATTCTATCATCCTAGAAAGTTCTACTGGACAGCCCTCCGGCAGACCCCGCCTCTCTGACCTCGACATTTCCTGCCTGGCCGTGTCTGCCTGGGGAGGGAAACTGGAGCCATGGGCTGCCTCCCTGGGCCCATCCCCCCACCTGCTCACCCGCTCCATCCCATTGCCGTGCACGTCATTCCACTGCCCCGCCACCTCCTCCCACCCTCAGAGCGTGGGGTGGAGGAAGAGCTCGGAGCAGCTCTTTACAGCGATGTCCCGGAGCCAGGACCTTTAGGGCCTATGGAAGTTGCTGCAGGCTCAGAGTGAGGTTCTGTAGAGTTAACTCCCAGCTCTGACGGGACAATCATGTAGCCCCAGTGACTGAGCCGCGGAGCCCTGTCCCCTCCTCAGTGGTGAGCAGTGAGTTGGCGCGTGGGAGTGAACGTGCTTGTTCTCTTGCCTCGCGTCGCCACCCTGGGCGTGCGGTAGGGCAGGGTCTTTGAGACCATTTTGCCCATAGAGACGGACGCTCAGAGAGGTTCAAGGCTTGCCCGAGGTCACCAGCCTGTGGGGGTGGGGCTCAGACCAGGCCAGCAAGCCCCAGGCTGTGCCCCTCCCCCCATGGACTGGGTCTCTGCAGTGCCCCTCACGTGGCCCTCCTGTCCCCACAGTGCTGGAGCCCTCAGGGGATGTGGCGCTGTACGCGGGCCTTGTGGTGGCCGTCTTCGTGGTCATCGCGGTGCTCATGGTGGTGGGGGTGGTGGTGTACCGCCGCAACTGCCGCGACTTCGACACCGACATCACCGACTCGTCCGCCGCCCTCACTGGCGGTTTCCACCCAGTCAACTTCAAGACCGTGAGGCCCAGTAAGGACCCGAGGACGTCTGGGGTGGTTGGCAGAGGCGGGACACCTGAAGGGCCATGGCGGCAGCCAAACCAGACCTGGGGCAGCGGCCGAGCCTTTCACAGCCGGGCAGTTGGGTTTTGCAACAGGAAGGCCCTGCAGGAGCAGGGGTGGGGGCTGGGCCTGCGGGGCTCGGCTGGGTCTGACCGTAGCCCCCGCCCCTGCAGACAACCCGCAGCTCCTGCACCCATCTGCACCCCCCGACCTGACCGCCAGCGCCGGCGTCTACCGCGGACCCGTGTACGCCCTGCAGGACTCAGCCGACAAGATCCCCATGACCAACTCGCCCCTGCTGGACCCCCTGCCCAGCCTCAAGGTCAAGGTCTACAGCTCCGGCACCACCAGCTCCGGCCCAGGCCTGCCAGATGGGGCCGACCTGCTGGGGGTCCTGCCGCCCGGCCCGTACCCTGGCGATTTCCCCCGCGACGCCCACTTCCTGCACCTGCGCAGCGCCAGCCTTGGCTCCCAGCAGCTCCTGGGCCTGCCCCGGGACCCAGGGAGCAGCGTCAGCGGCACCTTCGGCTGCCTGGGCGGGAGGCTCAGCATCCCCGGCACAGGTGGGACCCTGCCCTGCTCGCCCACAGGCCTGGCCTCAGCACATCCTCCCTGGACTGCCCCAGCACCCACCCAGGAGAGGATGGGCTCCCCCGATCCCACTGCACAGATGCAAAGGAAGGCCCGCGGCAGGAAGTGACTATAGAATGGAGAGGTCTGATGAGAAGGCCTGAGGTTCAGGCCTGGGGCAGGAGAACCTTGGGCCAGCCACCCTTTAAGCCCTAGTTTCTCTGTCTGTTAAGTGAGGGGAAGAGCCCCGTGTAGTTGAACAGACCTACAGAGTGCTGTCCCGGGCTCTAGCAGCAGAGGGGCAGGGGTGCCCGCCTTCAGTTGCAAAGCCAGCAATTGACAGCGTCCCGACATCACACACTGAGCTAGGGATGGAGCTGGCCCTGTGGGCAATGTCAGAGGTCCCTGTCTTATTGGACAAGCAGGCTGTGGTCAGTGGCCTGGCCTGTCCTCACATCCAGTCCCTGGACTCTCTCCCCACCCCGACTGGTGTCCACCTGAGCTCAGGAGATGTTTTTCTCTCCCCCTAGGGGTCAGCCTGCTGGTGCCCAATGGAGCCATTCCCCAGGGCAAGTTCTACGAGATGTACCTGCTTATCAACAAGGCAGAAAACACCCTGTGAGTAGAGACCCAGCCCCAGCCTGGGCCATCCTCCCTCCACTTCCTCTCTCCTCCCGCCTGTCCACACCACCTCTGAGCCTGGGCCCTGATCCTGAGGCTGGAGATCGTCCTCAAAGGAGAACACTGGTCTTACTGTGTCCACATTTAGAACTTGCAAAACCAACACCATAAATCATAAAACTGAAGAGCAGCTGACAAGCTGGCTGCAGATGCAACAAGGGCTGAATAGCCTCGCTATGTAAAGAGATTTCACAGACCAATAAGAAAAATTGAGCATCTCAGTGTGGAAACAGGCAAAGGGCATGAACAAGTGATTCACAGGCATTTTCTCTCTTTCACACACACACATACCCTCACACACGTGCTTACATACACGCACTTGATGGCCAGCACATTGTGAGAAAATGTTCAATCTGATTTGTAGTCAAAGAAAGCTAATGAAAACAACCATGACATATATTGGTAATGTATTTGCTTAAGGAATTTGCAAGGATTTTTTTCAAACATTAACACCAGGTGCTGGCAAGGGGTTGGGAACGCAGCCCTCCCGTGGCCTGCTGGCGGGAGTGTAGATTGGGAACAGCTTTCCAGAGCACACTTTAGCGACACCTATTGAAGACATTCCAAGCATGCAGAACCTTTAACAAATGGAACAAAGAATTTCGAGCCATGAGAATGTTGGGGTGTAATGGCAAAAACGTGGAAGCATCCTCAGGGTTCATGCCATCTTCTCTGCTCCTTGGGCGCCCTGACCTCTGGGGATACAGAGCTCTGAGCAGCAGAAACCAGCCCTCCGTCACACGGGCTGGGGCAGGCTTGGCACCCAGCAGCCTGTGCCCTTGCTGAGCTCCTTGGGCCTCCCCTCACAGCCTCCCTTCTGTCCTCCGTCCTGCCCCTAGCCCGCTTTCGGAAGGAACCCAGACAGTATTGAGCCCCTCGGTGACCTGTGGGCCCACAGGCCTCCTGCTGTGCCGCCCCGTCATCCTCACTGTGCCTCACTGTGCCGAAGTCAGCGCCGGAGACTGGATCTTCCAGCTCAAGACCCAGGCTCACCAGGGTCACTGGGAGGTGAGGGCCCCGGTGGGGACCGGCCCAGCTCTCTGAACCTGCCCAGGAGGCCTGGGGAGGCGAGTGAAGGCCCAGCCTGGATGGCTGTGATCTGCCTACCCCAACCTTCGCCCTCTCCCTGCAGGAGGTGGTGACTCTGGATGAGGAGACCCTGAACACGCCCTGCTACTGCCAGCTTGAGGCCAGGTCCTGCCACATCCTGCTGGACCAGCTGGGCACCTACGTGCTCACGGGCGAGTCCTATTCCCGCTCGGCAGTCAAGCGGCTGCAGCTGGCCGTGTTCGCCCCCGCCCTCTGCACCTCCCTGGAGTACAGCCTCCGGGTCTACTGCCTGGAGGACACGCCCGTGGCACTGAAGGTAGGCCAGGTCATGGGCCCACACGGCCGGCCAGCTGCAGGGCCCCTGCCAGCACCCCCTCCCCAGGCCGTGGGGCCTCCCAGGCAACCGCCCCCCACCAGCCTCATTCAGTCACTCCGCATCCCTCCCACACTGATGGGCATCGGACCCTCGAGATGCATAGACGAGCCGGGCTGAGGGCTCTCAAGGGGGTCTGACGGGGGTCTAAGGGAGCCCCAGGCCTGGAGGGGCTTGGGGTGTTGGGGCAGGGCCCTGAGAAGGCCGGCCGGTAGGAGTTCAGGCAGAGGGGTGAAGGGCGCTGCAGACAGGCAGGGGCTGGCGTGTAGCTCGGTGAGACCCCGGCATGTGGGGATGTGCGAATGCGATGGCAGGAGAGATGGACAGGCTCAGCTTCCCAGGAGCCTCAGGGGCCATGCCAAGGACTCTGGCATCTGTCTGCTGGGAAGCAGGATAGACCCGGAAGACACCTGTTCACAGGTGCTCTTGGGAAAGCTCCGGTGGCTACACTGCAGAGGGGGGTGGATGAGAGATGGAGAGGCTGGTCAGGAGGCCGGGGCTGGACCCTGGGCTGCAGGCAGTGGCAGTGGCCAGGAGAGGCGGGGCTGGACTCCATGTTTAGTCAGTAGAATGGACAGAACCAGAACTGATGGGATGGGCCCAGGGAGAGGAAGGTGCTGACAGCCAGGCCCCTGGCATATGCAAAGGATGCACGCAGTGGTGCCCTAAGTGAGGGAGGGCCGTGGCCCGTGAGCAGTGGTTGGGGCAGGGGGCGAGGAAGGGGAGGGGATTGGACTTGCAGCACCTACAGCCTGATGATGGCAGGTGTGGGGCCCTGTGTTAGCACCACCCACCCCCACCAGCCCCAGAGCCCCTGTCCACTCCCTCCCACCCCTCCCCTGGTTCCTGGGACCTCAGTCGCATCTTGCCCCAGCACTGGAGAGTACACTTCTCCCTTCCTTCCCCCTCAGAGCCTCACGGCCTCTTCCCATGGCTCCGTGCCTCTCCCCACCCCTGCTCTGTAGTCCCTTCAGCTCCTTTGTCTCCAGTCTCATGGGGCTTGTCCCAACTCTACACTGTGGACAACACAGGGGAAAGGCCCCGTGGGAGTGAGTGTCTCCTGCTGGGATGATTCAGGCCCCCAGTGGGTGGGAGGCTCCTGGGAGATGCCCCTGCAGCCTGGACCTCTTGCTGCTGGGCCACTGGCTAATGTGCAGGTTTGGCCAGAGAATGGTATGGAGATCAAGGGGAAGTTGCCAGACTTGGGCCTGATAGCACTCTTTGTTTATTAACCCCCCATCCATTTATCCACCCACCCATCCATCTTTCTGTTCATCCGTCCACACACTCAGGCACCAGCCCACCTGTCCACCCAGTCGTCACCCACTCAGCCACTCATGTGTCTGTCCTGGCATCTATTCTATTCACACACCCATCTCTTTGTATATCCATTTATCTGTCTCTCTGTCCATCTGTCTACCTGTTTATCTGTCTAACCATCCATCCATCTGTTCATGCAGTCATCTGTCCCACTATCTGTCCATCCGTCTATTTTTCTGCCCATCCACTCGTCTATTCATCACACCACAAGCCTTCCATGGCCACCTGCTGCATGCACAGCCTTGTGCTCAGAGGGTCCCCGCCCCCCAGCTTGCAGCAGGAAAGGGCCCATTGGCCAAGCATGACAGGCTCCCCCATCCCCTTGCCGCGGCCCACAGGAGGTGCTGGAGCTGGAGCGCACTCTGGGCGGCTACCTGGTGGAGGAGCCCAAGCCCCTGCTCTTTAAGGACAGTTACCACAACCTGCGCCTCTCCCTCCACGACATCCCACACGCCCACTGGAGGAGCAAGCTGCTGGCCAAGTACCAGGTGGGGGCCGGGCTGAAGCGGGAGGGGGAACCTGGGGAGGGGGCTCTGCTTAGGGGGCTGCCCAGGGAAGACCAATTCCTTGCTCCCGGGCCCTGCCTCCTCTCTCTGTCCTGCAGCCTTGCCCCACCCTGGTGTCCCTCTCATTGCCGTCTGTCTCCCACCCCAGCTCCGTGCTCCCAGCCGTCCTCAGGCACATCCCCAAATTCAGTGCCACTGACAGCCACACTCACACTTCTGCCCTGTCACTCACTCCCATGCACAAGTGCCTGTCGTCCTCACCGAGGCTTACCATCTCTAAGAGTGTCCATGCTAATCTCTGATGGCCACAGCCCTCCGCCCAGCCTGAGCATGGGACACCCCTGAGTCCACGAGGCTTCCCGGCCCAACACATGCGCACTCACACACACCTGTGCCTCTCCCTCCCCACGGCCCCCTTCTCAGCTTCCATCTGGCACCGAGGCCCTGACACAGACTCAGCCAGCGTAAGGGCCCTTGACCAGCCCTTCTTCCTCTGCCCATCTGCGTGGAGAGGCCCGAACTGCCCCCGAAGGTCCCAGTCCTCCCTGAGGCTCCCAGCCCTAGCGGAATCTGGCCCGTTGCCCATTTCTGCCTCCGTTCCCCGCCGGGGCAGGGCCGGCTGGCCTCACCGGCGTGGCCCTGACCCCCTCCTCCCGCAGGAGATCCCCTTCTATCACATCTGGAGTGGCAGCCAGAAGGCCCTGCACTGCACTTTCACCCTGGAGAGGCACAGCCTGGCCTCCACGGAGCTCTCCTGCAAGATCTGCGTGCGGCAGGTGGAAGGGGAGGGCCAGATATTCCAGCTGCACACCGCGCTGGCAGAGGTGAGGGCCGGAGGATGACACACAGCCCCTGTGCTTCCCCCGTGGGGTGGAACTGCCGTCTCCCGTGAAGCATCTCTCACACCTCCCGAGTCTGAGCGAGGCTGTGGTCATTTGTGCTAACAACTCTCATTCGCTGAGAGCTGTTCACGCGCTCAGCGTGTACTCACGTTATCTCACTAAATCTTCACAACCGCCTGGAGACAGGCGTGGCACGTGATCCCCGCCGGGGAGGTGGGAAAGTGGGCTTTAGGGACGGCGGGTATTTGCTCACAGTGCACCCGTAGCAAGACTGGATTTGAACCCAGGTCGACGCCAGGACCAGGCCTGTAGCTCTCCACCACAATAAATCCAACTGAAGGTTAAAAGCCCAGGCCACCCAGGGTGACACTGCTAGATCCTCCTCTCTGGGCAGCGTAAAGAGCTCTGGATACAGGTCGGGACCCCGCACTGCCACTAACTTGGCATGTGGCTGTGAGCAGGTCACCTCCCCTTCCTAGACTTCATTTTCCACGTGGGTAAAAATGGGTCTGTGTGGACTAGACTGTGGCGGAAGCTCCTCGGGGGGCTTCCTAGTGGTGACGCTGCGATGGCATTTGCCCAGGGCAGTGCATTAGCACGGGACGGCCCCTGAGGGCTCACAGTCCGGGGCAGATGCCAGCGCTGTGCCCCCTCCTCACTCTCACTCTCGCCCCCTGCCCTTCCAGACACCTGCTGGCTCCCTGGATGCTCTCTGCTCTGCCCCTGGCAGCACGGTCGCCACTCAGCTGGGACCCTATGCCTTCAAGATCCCGCTGTCCATCCGCCAGAAGATATGCAACAGCCTTGACGCCCCCAACTCACGGGGCAACGACTGGCGGATGCTGGCGCAGAAGCTCTCCGTGGACAGGTGAGTGTCCCAAACCACAGCCCACGCCCACCTGCCTTAGCCCTCAAGGCCCAGCAGGGGCAGGCAGAGCAGGCCCTGACCGTCCGGGCTCGGCTCCCAGCTCGGCTGCCCGTTGCCACCATTTGCGGCAGATCAGGGGCTCAGGTTTGCATGGGCCACGTCTGAGAATCCTGCTCCTTGGAGGAGGGTCACGCCCATAGTGCTGGTCCGAGAGCCAGGCAGACTGAGTGACCGCCACACTCCTCTCCCGTTGCGTGAGAACGATGCTCTGCCTGCCCATCTCATGGACATGATGTCACCTCACTGGATAAAGCCAAGACACCAGCCAGGCCTGATCACCATCGGCACCCAGGGCCTGGGACAGAGCAGGTGCTCTGGAATACACCCGGGTGTCAAAACTCTTGGGGACTTCCAAGTGCTGGCTAAATACAATGGCAATAATAAGTATTACGCTTACTGAAAAAATGTTTAATAAACCTGCATTGAGCAGATGCTATAGGTAAGACATCTTACTAGAAACAGGTAGGATTTACAAAGATGGCTAAAGCTTTGTTCCCACTATTGGAAGTTCACGGGGCAAGATGGACGTGGAACAAATGTGGGAGGAGGAGAAGAGAATGTGCGGACTGTCCTCTTGGGGCCTGTGTCTTTCAATGATGGTGACAGTGATGACGTATGATGATGATGAACAAGATGTTTACATGCTAGAAACAATGCTAGACCCTCAGTGTATATGAACTTGGATCTTGTTTGTAACTCTGGGAGGTGACTGGCATCGTTCCCATTTTAGAGATGGGAAAACTGAAGCTCAGAGAGGTGCACTGACTTGCCCAGGACCATGCAACCTGCAAGCAGAGGAGCTGGGATTCAGACCCAGGACTGTGGGGCCCCAGAGCCACAGTCGTCCCGCCTCCTGTGTGCCCTCCACCCCCAAGCTCCTGGGAGATGCTGAGCGCTCAGGAAGCTCAATGCCTTTCTCCTTCCCTCTGCCAGGTACCTGAATTACTTTGCCACCAAAGCGAGCCCCACGGGCGTGATCCTGGACCTCTGGGAAGCGCTGCAGCAGGACGACGGGGACCTCAACAGCCTGGCCAGTGCCTTGGAGGAGATGGGCAAGAGTGAAATGCTGGTGGCAGTGGCCACCGATGGGGACTGCTGAGCCACCTGGCACTGCAGGGTGGCAGGGACTGGCAGGAGGCGGGTGCAGGGAGGCCTGGGGCAGCCTCCTGATGGGGACCTTCAGCTTCTGCTGCCCCTCAGCTCACAGCTGGAGGTTCCCCCTCCTCCTCCTCCTCCTCCCCCCGTACCCCAAGCCCCACACCACGACCAGCCTTAGAAAACCCACATGCCCTGTTATTAGAGGGCCCAGTGTTCCTTCTCCATGCCCTGCTGTCTCTCTCCCAGCCCCAGACCTCCGTGTGGGAGTCCGGATGGGGCTGGGGCCTCTGGAGGCAGTTGAGGGGCAAGGAGGTGGCCCTCCCTCCACCCTCACCCGCCCCCAGCCCCGCGACTTCTGGGTTCCATTGGTTTAGCTGCGTTCTTCATCTTCCTCCTCCGTTGCTGACCTCCCCTCCTAAGCCCCGGCTGCTCTCACACCCTTTTCCTCTTTGAAGAGTCAAGTACAGTTCAGACAGACAGACTGCTTTCTCCCACCCAAAAGCAAAAAGGAAAAGGAAAGAAAGCTTCAGACGGCTAGTAAGGCTCAAAGAAGAAGAAAAACTCCAAAACCACAAGGGAAAAGAAAAACCCAGTTTCTTAGGAAACGCAAATGATTTATTATCCAGATATTTGGATAAGTCCTTTTTAAGAAAAAAAAAAAAAAAAGAAAATGAAGAACAAAAAAAAAAATAGAAAAAGCAGAGCCTTGAGAATAGGAGGTCAAAAAAGGAAAGAAAGCTTCAGACGGCTAGTAAGGCTCAAAGAAGAAGAAAAACTCCAAAACCACAAGGGAAAAGAAAAACCCAGTTTCTTAGGAAA